CCGAAGGGTAGCTTGCAAGGCGGGAAGGTCGGGTTCCTGTCCTTGCAGGAAGCCCAGCTCATGGTGCAGGTGACGCAGACTGGGAGGGGAAGAGTGGAAAATAAATAGCACGAAGCCGTTTATTTTTTCCACACTTTCTTTCTCCTTCGGCGCCACCGGCACCCTGAGATGGGCATCGTACAGGGACAAGAACCCAACCTGTCCGCAGTGCAAGCTGTCCTTCGAGGTGCTCATCGTCCACCCAACCTTGGACACCTGCTCCTGAGGGCCGAATGGTTCGTGCCCCACTCGGTGCCGGTGGATGGCCAGAGGGCGTTGGAGGAGGACCTCAACAACCACCAGCATTATTACTACGGTGGATTGGAGGATGAGAAGAGGAGAATGATATAGAGCGCGACAGCTATGTCGACGCCCGGACCTCCATTCTGCTCATCAAACACAAGGTGGCGGAGCGACAACGGCCACATCAGGGCCAACCACACGGAGGCCCAACCGTTGAACTGGCAGTGCTCCGGCGGCGCCCATCCCCAGCCGACAGCAGAAACCAACAGCTTGTTCTCCTCACCGTCCTCGTCCTCGACCCACAGGGACAAGAAGCTGGAAAAAGGGGGGGGGGGGTGGTGGAGGTGGTGTTGGGGAGGCGGGCAAACAAGGCCATGAAGAGGGAAGTGGTGGACAAGGCGGCATTATTTACCTTTTGTTTCGTGTAATCATGGAGGCCATAGTGCCCATATGCTTGCCTGCCAATTTTTTGTTGTGTATATCAGTTAGATATAAATGAAAGAAGAAATCAGAGTCCAAACCGAGATCCCCGACTGTGTGTGTGTGTGTGTGTGTGAGCGAGTGAGTGAGAGAGAGAAGAGGGTGCCGCCATAAGTGGGTTTAGTTCTCCCGACGGCTTATTCCTCTTTTCTTAGCCAGGTCGAGCAGGACGACGGCGCAACCGGCAGAAAAAGAAGCTCGTCACTGAAAATCCCACAAAGACACAGGTATCTCTCTGTCTCTCTCCCCCCCCGCCGTCTATCTCTCGTGATCTCTTTCTAAGAAAGAGGCCTCCACTTTTCATTCAATCATTTTTCCTGGACCCATAGCTTCGGGAAGCAGAGAATTACCTGTGGGATGAGCAGTACACCTTCCGGTCATCGGCGCCGACGGGACCCACCTCAGGATGAGAACCTCGGCGTAGCCCGTCCTTGGGCGTAGTCCCTGTCCGGGTGGTAAGGGACCTCCTGCCTGCGGGCGCAGTTGCACTTGGCGCACATCTTCGCCACCTACTCCGACGGGTTCTCAAACGCGAAAGAGTGCTGCCGTCTCTTTCTCTCTCCCTCTCTTCTGCGCCTTGTGGGTTTCTTGACGATCGGCGGCTGGTGGGTGGGCGGGAGGAGGGAGGGCCGCCTCCGGGGAGGTGGCCGGGGAAGAGTCGGAGGAAGTGGCGACGTGCATCAAATGCAAGTGCGACCGCAGGCAGGAGTTCCTTTTCCGGCCGAACAGGCCCCGGGCTCCCGTCTCTTCCGCGTAGCAGAGAAGAAGATGGATCTGAGCGTGCTTGTGTGTGAGGGAGAGACTAGGCGGGAGATGCATATATATAGATAAAGAAAGAGAGAGGGAAGCCGATGTCCAGGAGATGAAGAACGACAGAGGAGAAGAATGACGTTCAAAGAAGATAACAGCGCACCCACATACGAAACCGGAGCCGATAGGGAAACGCAGCGAAGAACAACGACAACGACAACAACAACAAAAGGAGAGAGCAACATAACACAGAAGAACGACGACTATGGCGGCTGCTTCCCCTTTCGCTACTCACCCAGCCAAACAGCATCCACAAGCCTTATTACCACCGCAAAAGAGGAGGAAAGGGAGCGGAGGGAGGAGGCGAATAGTGAGCCGTCATCATCCCTCACCCAGGGACTATCAATCCATCCATCCCCTATCCTCACCCCAGCTTGTCGAAGCACTGCTGGTGCTTTGTGGCCGCAGCCTTGTCTCCCGCTTCGCACTTCATGGCCCTCTCTCCCTGCCTCTCCACGGCCGTCACCGCCTCGTTAGACTCCAAATACTCTTATGGCACAAGGATAAGAACCAGAGACGAGAAAGCACCACGGGTTGCCGCCACCGACGGTGAATCGGCCATGCAAAACTCGCCCCTCAGGAGCAACAAAGCGCCAGAAACCATATCTCGATACACGACAATTGAAGCACATCTGGGATATCAAAATAACACGTGAAATAGAGAGAGATGTCCAGGACGAACCACTTGGCGTGCCCGCGAGCTTTGACCACAGCCGTCTCCCGAAGGGCGATCTTCTCCAAGCAAATCACGCAAGTCCAAACCCCCGACCGTCTCCTCCTGAGAAGACCGAGGAGCCTCCCCCTCGTTCCCAATCACGCTGACGGCCTGACAATAGAGATCCAGTCCGTACCCGTGGAATTACGAAACCCTAGAAAATCTCTCAAATCAAGATACCTCCAACAGATCTCGGGAAAAAGGAAAACAAGAAACGGAAAGACTCCCGACTCCTTGTCGACGGAGTAAAGCTCAAGAGTCCGAGCGCGTTACCTTCTCCACGGGGATGAACGCCAACGTAGAGCCGGTCGCGCTACCGGACGCCCCCTGCCATGCCGCAAGGGCGATGGCCTGGGGGAACGAGGAGGAGAAGGCAGGAGGAGGAAAGAAGGGGCTAACAGCGCACTCACCGGCCACCGACGACGTCCACGAGAAGCTTCTCGATAGGAACGATCACCAGACGCCCAGCACCAGGTTTTATAGGCGTTGGGGGACGGCAGGTACATCCCGCGAAAGCGCGCCAAAAAGTTCCTGATATTGCATTCACGGTAGTGAGAAAACATTATAAAAGATTTACAGATATTGCGTTCATGATCCCTTGCTCGATGGTTATTCTTAGGCTATGAAGGAAACCGTTGAGACAATGAGTTTAATACGTAACTCTACACTGAATGAAAAAAGTTAGTCCCAGCTATTATGCAGAGTAAGATTGTAGGCCATATCGGGAGATAAATGGGTTAAACGTAGTACACAAATCTCAAATTCTGCTAACAATCGAAGGGAGTAACCATTTGCTGATTGATTAAAAATTCTGAGTTTAATCTCGTGCATTCAATAGACTGAAAAAAATAAACAAATATTACGCATGCTTTGCCAATCAGGAAAATAAACACTATCAATGATGCATGTGGACGGCCGCAACAATACAAACCGCATCCATAATCTCGTCTGTTTCTTGTAACGGTTGACCCACATTGCGATCACCAAGTCAAATGAGATTTGACTTGCTTTGTCAGAGTAAACATCGCCGCACATGGAGAACAAGAAACAACTTCTGTGTGCTTCAGCAGGGTAACGACACGCGAGAGATTTAAACGGTGGTGGATGTAAGGTGGTTTATGATGCTCGAGAGAAACACGAGAGATTTAGATAATAAAAGGGAGAGGGAGAAGAGATGATTGGGCACTGTAGATGACGAAACAGCGGCGACGCAACCGGACAAAGGCTCTCGCGATCTAGACGACGACGATCTTCTCCAAGGCGGAGAGCGGACTACGAACCGTGGTGGACTCGGGGAACTCCGAGGACAGTAGAGAGGGAGAGAGAGAGAGAGAAAGAAACCAGATAGGGTTAAATACTACCAAGAGGAATGGAGGGGTGTCCAAGAAAACTAACGAGAGGAATTAAAAACCACTAGGCGTGCTCGCGAGCTTTGGCCACAGCCGTCTCCTGAACGATCTTCTCCAAGCAAATCGCGCAAATCCCACTCCTGACCGACACCTCCAGAGAAGACCCAGGAATCTCCTCCTCCCTCCCGATCACGCGGACGGCCTGACAATACAGATCCATTCCATGCCCGGGGGATTACGAAGCGATACAGAATCTGTCAAATCAAGATACCCCCAACAGATCAAGGGAAAAAGGAAAACAAGAAACGGAAAGACCCCTGGCTGTCACCCCGTCGCCAACACCGTCCCCGGCGACTCGGCTCTTCAACGGAGTAAATCACAAGATTCGCAGACTCAGAGCACATTACCTTCTCCACAGGGGCGACCGCCGACGTAGAGCCGGTCGCGCTATCGGACGCGCCGTGCTATCCGAAAGCGCGATGCGCGGGGGGGAGGAGGAGGGAGGAGGGAGGATGGGGCCCGCACCGCGTTCGCCCGCCACAGACAGCGTCCAAGAACGGCTTTCAGATTTGTACGACCACCGGAAGACAGATCAGACGCAGCAGGAGGATTTTGTAGGCGGCAGGGGCGGTAGGGGCGGCAGGTGGATCCCCCGAAGATGCACCAAAAAGTTCTTGTGGGTTCTGCAAGAATCATGTGCGCTTACCTCAACAGCACTGCCTCACTGTGAGGCCGACGACGGTTGGCGACGATCGTGCACTAACGCAATTGCGTGCATTTTTAGTAAGCCCTTCCCGTCCGCGGAATAACTTTCCATGCTTGTCCACTCTGTAGGACATGAATAACGAAAACACGGTAGACTACGTAAAATGAGAAAATTAAAAGAATAAAAACAGGGTCGAAACTGGAGACCCAGGATTCTATTTTATTAGAGCGGTTATCTTATGCCGATTATATTTTATTGTTTCTCCAGTATTATTGAGGTGATATCAATCATGCCGACGGTAAATGACTGGAGATGTCACACATGGCATAAACAGAGGAAAGATGCACCCTTGGGAGAAAAAGCCAGATTTAAAATTGTGCTCTTACTTAACTTCTTGAAATGCTGTATTACGCATCTGCTATGCTCTTGCCAATAATTTTCATATATTGTGTGAAGGATAAGGAAGCATGCCATTACCAAGCAGACAAAATGTTCCACCGTCAGGTAAGAGTATATTGATATTTGCCTAAATTCACGAATAAAGTTTTAAAATCAGGTGATAATGAGAAAGCACCATTAAAAATTCGTAGAAAATGGGTTCATAGAAAATTTTAGAACCATTGTGCTCATTGATATCTTTGTTTATAGTCGATGACTCATGAGCTTAGCGTGTCCATGGACGGTGTGGAACCCCCCCGGGTCTCGAGCCTTCAGTGCCCAAAGACTTTCTCTACCCTTTTACTGTGAATCTCTCTCTCCCTCTCTCTCTCTCTCTCTCTCTGTCGACTCTTAAACAGCTTCCAGTGGTTGAAAAACCACAGATCACAACGTGACCAAGCACGCAAGAAAATATGCTGATGTCTAGTAAATGGAAGACAACGAGCAAATAAGAAGAATAACGCCAAGAAAAAAGAACAGCCCACCCACATACCAAACCAGAGCCGATGGGGAAACGCAGCAAAGAAGAACAACCACAACAGAAGGAGAGAGCAACATAACACAGAACAACGATGACTACGGCGGCTGCTTTCCCTTTCGCTACTCACTCAGCCAAGCAGCATCTACAGGCCTTATTACCACCACAAAAGAGGGGGAAAGGGAGCTGAGGGAGGAGGCGAATAGTGAGCCACCGTCATCCCTCACCCAGGGACTATTAATCCATCCATCCCCTATCCTCACCCCGGCTCGTCGAAGCACTGCCGGTGCTACGTGGCCGCAGCCTTGTCTCCCGCTTTCCACTTCATGGCCCTCTTTGCCTGCCTCTCCACCGCCGTCACACCTCGTCCCCTCTGCTGCGTCCTTGGTCTTATGGGACAAGGATAAGAACCAGGACGAGAAAGCCCCACTGGTTGCCGCCACCGACGGTGAATCGGCATCGTCAGAGGCCCCACTAGTTCACCGGCCGAACCTCCTTGTGGCCGGCTGGCCCTGATATGGCCATGGTCACCCCACCGCCTGCTGCTGAGGAGCAGAGTGGACGACCTGGGGGCGACGTATTAGTGCTCCTCGAGCTCCTGGTGAGGTCCTCCTCTTCTTCCTCCTCCAATCCGCCTCAGTAAGCATACTGACACTGGCTGAGGTCCTCCCCCGTCGCCTCTCGGTCATCCACCGGCGCCGACAATGGCATAATCCACTAGGCCCTTAGGAGTAGGCGTCCGGGATCCGGTGAGGGAGGAGGCGTATAGGCAAAAGAAAAGTTTGTTGTCTTTTGGTGTCGTTTCTATGTCTAGGTTGCCAAAGATCCGATTTTTTCAAGGGACGGTGCCGATATGTACGTGGACTCTAATATTAGCTTTACACAGGCAAGAACTTTTTCTTTTTGTTACTCTCCTCTTCGAAGAAGCACAAGTGAGAAAAAAAATTATTCCCCTGGGAATCATTATAAACCAGCATGCTCTCTCTCTTCAGAAAAGACTGCAGTATGTGAACTCAGTGTTCTGTTCAGTGACTGCTTGATTTGATGATGTCTCAACACTAGCAAGATGTCTACTACCTTCAACTTTCGAGCTTTACTTGCATCTCTTTCGATCTAACTTAGCTCAAAAGAATCTTATGACTTCAAATGTTCATAGCAGTATGTGGGTTTTGTTCTGAATGATCGGCCATTTGTGGATTTACAAGATAAATATTTTTTACCATATTTCATGTAAAGTATTAGTTTTTACCAATAGAACCTTATCAAGTCAATTCAGTTAGTGTATTTATGTTTATGTTTGGTAATAATTATTGCATCTTTTGTCGTTTCACGTTTGCTTTATCTCTTTGGGTTCCATCGCACACTGATTTAAACTGGTGATTATGATTATTAGTTGGTGAGGAGAGTATTGGCATCCTAATCGTTTTTATTGGTGGTTATATTGAGCAACATCTTGGATGAGTGTTGTAGTTGCGAGATAAGTAATACTAAGTAATATGAGTGATTGATACTAGTGGTTATAATCTTTCCGTGTTAGCACAAATGGCCACTAGTAGGGCATTTTCTTTTCGAGTAGTTTTTGGGTAGCTTATACTTGTCAGGTAATGATAAACCACAGAGATAAAAACAAATTAGTTGACTTTATGGATTGCTAATTTGACGAAAAGATGCAATTTATTCTGTTCTTGAGATGATCTTGTGGGAAAGTTGGTCAGTTCTGACTGTTCTGGGAGAGTTTTATTTAACAGTGGTTTCTCTTTATAGCGATGAATATATGCTTCCCTGTTAATGAGAAAAGGAGGCTTGATGGAAAATAAAATTGTCCTCGCTGGGTTCCATGATAGTTTGGAAATATCCTGAGGACAAATATGGCTGTGAATTTTCCAGGCGCCAAAATACAGTCAGTGGTCTTGCGATCCTAAAATCTATTTTAATTTTGTGGTATTTCTTCTGTTAATGTATTTGATGCAATTTTCCCCTCTAGTTGACTGTTGATGGTGCTTTCTTTGCTGTGACGTCGTTTTTATTATGGTCTGTTTGAAATATTTTTGAATTCATCCTTGTTTCTGTCATCATTGTCTATATGTTTGTTGACTTTTGTGAGAAGCTAAGAGCCAATGCTGTGGGAAGTATTCTATCAAGAGCTCTAGTACTACTGGTATCTTGAGAGACTCCATTCACAGTTTAATCAACTCTGTGAGAAGGTTTTGTTGAGAGCTATAGACCCTATTTTCTCCAATACGAGACTAATTAGAATGAACTAGGAGAAACTGATGCACAGGAAAACTTTATGGTAGTTCATTTTCCATGTGAGTACTTCCAGCTTCCATTATAGTATACCATTGAGTTACAAGTTGTTCACGGTGATGGCTGCATAAAAAATTCCCTTCTATATCTTGGGAATCAGCATTGACCTTACTTTGACAAATACTGAAAATACTCCCATGTAAGAAGCATTTTACAAGAAAATAGAAAATTTGGTTTAAAGACTCTAGTCCCATGACTGCTGGAAGGGGGGTTTACCCGCTCCCCAACATTCTTTCCAAACCACATTGAGAAATGACAGTTGACTGACCCTTGTGCGAACTCCATGTAAGGGCAGTTGTTAGGCTCCACATTGCTTGATTAGTGTGATCTTCTGATCTTCAATACTCAAGATTTTTAGTCTTCATACTGAGTATCCAAGAACAGAAACCTCATTCAAAATGCTGAATGCTTGATTTATTTTAAAGTTTAATTTTGTCATGTCAATGATTAGCAGCACACGTAGTTTTATTTGCTTAATATACTACTGTTATTTTATTAATTGAATTATTGTGAGAGATATTTGAAATTGGGTTGAGTTTTATTTGCAATTGGTTATGCCTCATCTTGTCCTGTTAGGATTGAGGACAATTGATATCTCCCCTGAAATCATATGTATATATAAAAATTCTGATTGTTTACTAGTATTCAACTTATTATTCAGGCTATCCTTGGTGGAAAGATCCAAGTACCAACTTTGTTGGGGAAGACGGACGTGAAGGTACGATTTCTTGCATTACCTTCAGTTTCTTTTATTGGTGGCATTCTTTGCTGGTTATTTTATAACTCTATACGGATGCTAAAACACTGAGGAATTGCAACTGTGAAACGTATTTTGGACCTTTTTCAGTGTGTGGCATTGTGCAGTGCATTATGAAACAGAAAACATGGCTGGTATAAAGCATCAACTCCTAGATAAAACAGCCATCTTTACTTTGAGAAATATTTGAGATTAGCGAGATTTTGAATTGATCTCTGCAGGAGTCTTAAGTTCCTAAATTTGGCTGACTTATATTGTTTTCGCTTCCATTTGTGCATATCATAGAAAAGATATCGATTTATTTCGTATCTCAAAGGTACACAAACAGGAAGGGTTTGTGTGCATCTGTTGTAGTGGCACCAACTAAGAAGGAAATTGAACAGCGGGTCTTAGAAGTAAGACTGTGCCTTAGATTATAACTTTTAAGCTATTGCATGAACTATTAAGCCATTGTCATTCCTCTCATTCTTACCTCATGTAAAAAGGTTGAGATAATACTCATTTTCTTCATGTTTGACTATAATGTTTTTAATGTATTTTTGAAAAAATGACTTAAAGTGCTTCATTATCTAGTAAATTTTTGTGTTGCCATTAGTAATAGAAATGTGATTGTATCGAACCCAGTTGGGTAGTTTTTTCCTTCGAAGAACTCTTGACTTATTTTTTGAGCTTCTGAACTGGACATTAGAATATAGTGTACTTCAGATTTCGGATTTTATATTTCTTCTTTCATGTATTTGAATTTTTCTTTTTAATGTAACTTCAGAGGAAAATGTTCCAATAAAATGGTTGCTTCAAATATCTTATTTACTACTCAGATACCGAAAGGAGTCCAACCAGGGCAGCTGTTGGTCCTTAGAGGGAGAGGTATATCTGCTGAAGAATTTACATTAAGAGATATGCCAAATGAACTACGACAGATTTTATTTTCTTTCACTATATTTCCTCCGTGTAACGATGAAATCGTACCAGGTTTGCCAAAGCGTCTTGGCTTTGTGGACCATGGTGATCAGTACGTGCGTTTCTGTGTAAATTTTCCTCTGTAAGATGCTACTTTCCTGGTGTAACAGTTTATACGCTTTGAATTTCTCCAATTATGACTGCCTGATTTTTTTGCGAATCATATACCCTCATTGTTCTTCGTAACGTTTCCATTCGATCCCTTGCATTGTGGAAGAGTGTGGATTGGCAGTAGGGAGTAATGTTTGGACCCAGCGGAGTGATTCTGAAGCTTCGTTGATTTATCTAATTGAATGGGGCAAAGTCCATGTTTTTGGATTTATAAAATTGAGTAATCAAAACCTTCCCATCATGGAAAATCAGTGAAACACCATACAAGCGTTCTAACATAACATATTTCAACCACGCCAACACGAAATAAGCTGCATTGATTGTCCAGGTTCCTTCTTCCTTTTCTCTGATCTTTGTTCTCCAGTTCTGGCCTTTTTCTCTGCCTCTTGTTGCTGCTCACGACCACAGGAAGGTGAGGATCCAGAGTCCCGCAGCTGGCCTGCTGCTGGTCCGTTCTTTTCTTATCAGGCCAATTCAGCCATCCTTCTCCATCTATAGCGACATTCTCTTTTCCAGCCTTGTTTGATTGTTCCTCTTCTACTTCTGGTTCTTTTGCTAGTGGTGGGGAACTGGGTTTTCTTTTCAATGTGAGGCTCCCATGCCTTTTGTTTTCTCCCATGCATACATACCTGAGCTGGTGGAAGATAAAATGAATATCCCCTTCCATGATTATGCATGTATTTTTTTATGGTAGAATCTTTAGTCAAGTCATAGTTTACATCGTAACTCAGATTTATTTATTTTTTTGTTTGATCAAATCATAATATATTATATGGTAGGTCATTCGTCAAATTGTTGATGTTGCATTTATTTACTACTTGTAGATCAGTGAACGACCGCCAGAAGTCCCTTTTGGAAGAGTTTGCAAAGGAGGAAGAGATTATTGAAAGAAATGCATATGAAGAAACAAAATGGTTAGTGTCTTATGTTACTTGCCTGGCATTCAAGACCCGATTTATTTCTGCTGACCTCTGACAGGCTCATGCATCTTGTCTATGGATATGCACTTCAATTATGAAACTTTCTATTGACAAGATAGTTCAATGCATAGTTGCTCAGTTCTTTCTCACCTTACCCATTCATTCCACTGACTTCTAGTTGGCGATCCCTTGTATATAACATGAGTAGGTCACACAAGTCCCTATGCACCAGATAAGTTGCTATGCTTTGTGCTGCTGTTATCACCATGGTCTAATCACTGAATACCCCCCCCTCTTTGTGACAATGATTATCTTATATTACATCCTCATGTGCAGATTTTTCTCCTTGATGAATTTTAATATTTTACATAACTTTGAACTGACAGAGGGCCAATTGTTAATGTAGAGTCCATAGCCTTATCCCCTCTGTCTGCAGGGGATCTACCCAGGACAGGCACATACGTACACTCTTTCTCATCCTCACACGAAGTCACTGCCGATGCATTAGAGCTTCACTGCAGATCTCTGTAGAGGTGGCTGCTACCTTGTAGTTTTCTATGCCTCTTTGAGACTACGCCACCAATTAGCTTGAGCATCAGAGGCATCCTTGGGGTCCCTTTTTGTGCCTCCTTCAAGGCGCCTCATTAGGAGATGCTTTCCTAAAACCCAGCAGTGATGGATGAGCTGCTGCTGCTGCTGCTCCACACAGCTCCATTCACCAAACTTCTGGAGCAAGGAATTTAGTGGGTCCCCAACTCTATTCCATCTATCTATGAAATAAAGATAAATTACGAATGAATAAAACTGTGCATATATGAAAATATATAAAATAAAAATCATACGTTAAGAGATAATTAGTCCTGGTGGGATATAAAAATTTGATCATAAAAGTATTAAATAGAGGCAAAATAGCTGTCGTATTTTAGTGTTTATTTGAAGAATTTGAGAGAGGAACGGACATTTACGAATGGGATGCCATGGTAGCTGAAGCATTAGGAGTATGCAGGGTTATGTTCCCTCGTTGCAATTGTATTGTTTGACTAAAAGTCAGTCTGGGTTCTCCGACGGTTAAATGGCAGATCCTATGTTTTGAAAATTTGCATTATCCCATCTGTTATATTTATTATCAATGGCAGCTCAGGGAAGACTTCTTCTTCCAATCAATGCAGATGGTGTTATTTTATTCCTAGAGTTTTGTTATCTGGAGATTCTCTCCTTCTTACGTGAACTCTGGGTCTGTCTGAATCTTGTTGGCATAGAATACAAATCCTGTTTTTCATGCTGCGGTCAAACTATAGCTATGATGTGAGGACCAGTGCCTTTGATTTTCTTTGTTGTGCTATATTTTAACCTGAATATGATGAGGATTTTCGGAATGACCAACAGGCTTGATGAGCGGCTGTCTACTGGTTGAACTTACAGGTGGCATCAAGTCTTCTCTCGTCCGAACAGGCATCTGTTCTTCTATCTGACTATCGGGGTCTTGTTCCTGGTGATCCAGCTCTTGCCTGATCTGTGATGATGAGTGGATAAATGAGTGGGCAGGCTTTGCTGTGGGTCCCAGCGCCAAGTTACAATTTTTAACCGCAGACGGCTACTTATGGGAGGAGGATATTTTCTAATCTTCTCCACTCGCGGGGGCAATTTTTTCTTCTTTTTTTTTTTTTTTGTATACCAGTCGAGGAAAGTGTAAATCTCTGTTTTCAATAAGGTAATTTTTGTGTATAAAATTAATTCATTGATGTCATGTTTAAATAATCCCCTCTCCTTCCTCCCTTGCCTTTTTTCTTAACTCTCCTTGATCCTGGATTACTTCCACCAGGAGTGACTTGTAAAATGTTGCAGCCAGAACTTATGGTTTTTGCCAAAGATGGAAATAAACCCCTTCTGTTCCTGTAAATATTGGGTAACTAATGTGATACCAAGATTGCACGCCTACTGACTATTCTTGCACCCAAATTGGCTGCAGCAATTGGCTAGGCCGCCATGCATTACTCTCTAAGTTACACTTAGATGGGATTACTTATCATGGGTTGCATGATCGAAGATGTGGCATATTCAAATTTCTAAGATCTAAAACGACATGTCTACCTATTCAACTATTCACCATTATTAAGAAATTTCCTTGGACTCTCGAATGAATCCAAGGCTTTCTTGTCTCCCTCCACAACATCTAGTCATCATCTGCATGTTTCCATCTACTTACCTCTGAAATTTCATCTGCATGACCTCTGCTCATATCCATGGAAGCCTTTATATTTCATGATTCTAATCTTTGCTAATAACAGCAAGCTACTAATCGCGCGTCACATACCCATTAGATGAGTTACTTTCATATTGGCAAGGTCATGTCCCAGAGTCTAATGAATGAATGCCACCACTCATCTCTGACAGGATGGTGGATGGATTAGTGTCAATGGTGATATAAGCTCTTTTGTACTTGGGCTGCTTGGACCACCGGATTGATGATTTCAGCTTTCCTAGGATGGGTGGGTCCTGCCAGGAAAAAGAGATGGCACAATGCCCAAGTGTGAAGAGATTAATGGCGTCCACATGAAATCTTGTCACAATCCCTCTTCCTTCCTCCTGAATTTTCACGGATAAATATTGCTATAAAACATGGGCTAAAGTTCTTAATAAGCTGCTAAACCTGTTTGATGAACTTAAGCAAAATTGGTCATGCTGAGATTCTTCTAAGTGAGAGATTTCCTGTTTTATTTTACTTTCTTATTTTTTTGCATAATTCAAGACTCAGACTCAGTTTATCGCAATAAGGGTACAATGGACTCATCGAAGGAATCTTTGATTTCACCTCACGAGAGTAACCTGCTGCAAAAGTCAACTTCTAGCGTGAGATTTGCATGCACTTGTGCACATGCCAATGAAGGTGGACCTCTATCAAATGAAGGGGGAATAGGTTGCATTAGCTGATATACTGGGGGTGGTTTTTGTCGGTAAATATAAAGCTTGTTTAAAAAACAGGACAGAATTTGGCAATTAGATAGCCCAAAGCATGCCGTGAGAGTAGAAAAAATTAAGCCTTGGAAAAAGATTCGATTACCCATTGACCAAAATCATGGGAAAAAAAAAGATTAATTTGACTTCATTATGAAAATCAGAGTTGTAGACGAAAAGAAATCATGAGGGCCTTTCCTTACTGATCACAGCACAAATAGTATCATTATTTATTGTAGCAACCTTCCCCCACTTGTAATATCAAGGAGGGGTGGTGGCAGAAGAAATACAAAAAGATTCAAGTATACAATGGAGAATGGATGATGAATGGATGAATATGGCGCCCACTTCTTCGTATTGCAAGAATTCACAGAGCCCAATGCTCAATTTGTGCATGGATGGATGATCAACTGCAGGAGATAGAGTTTTGAAAATCGGGACTTGGGAGAGAGGTTATCTTCTGTAGCTTATATCGGACCGCTTCTCCTTCACTTTGCCTCCTCTATTTAAGCCCTTTTTCAACAGCTTCGGCTTGAGCTTCGATCCTCCTCACTATTAGATCATGGACGGACAAGGTCGTTAGAATGCAGCGTGAATTCACGTGATAGGCAAAGCATTGACCCTTAACTTCCCTCTGCCTCCGTTTCAGATCCTCCAATTCCTGTTGTATCTTCTCAGGGTCACCTCTCTCACGATGAGCAATAGAGAAGCGTTTATGTGTACATTTTTCTCTGTAAGATGCTACTCCCCTGGTATAGCAGTTTTTAAGCTTTGAATTTATCCGATTATGACTGTCTGATCTTTTTGTGCGTTTCTGACTTTTTTTCTGAATCTTATACCCTCATTTTTTACGACAATACTTTTTCAGAATGTTTCCATTTGATCCCTTGCATTGTGGAAGAGTGTGGATAGGCATTAAGGAGTAATGTTTGGACTCATGGAGGGATTTTGAAGCTTCGTTGATTTATCTAATTGAATGGGGCATTAAGGAGTAATGTTTTTGAATTTATAAAATGGAGTTACCGAAACCTTCCAATCATGAAAAAAAACCAGTGAAACACCATACAAGCATTCTAACATAACGTATTTCAGCCACGCCAACACGAAATAACCTGCACTGATTGTCCAGGTTCGTTCTTCCTTTTCTCTGATCTTTGTTCTCTAGTTCTGGCCTTTTCCTCTACCCCTTGTTGCTGCGCACCACCACAGGAAGGTGATGATCCAGAGTCCTGCAGCTGGCCTGCTGCTGGCCGCTCTTTTTTTATCAGGCCAATTCAGCCATCCTTCTCCATCTACAGTGACTTTCCCAGCGTTTTTCGATTGTTCCTCTTCTATTTATGAATCAATGCATAGTTGCTCAGTTCGTTCTCATCTTACCCATTCATTCCACTGACGTCCAGTTGGCCATCCCTTGGATATAACATGGGTAGGTCACACAGGCCCCCATGCACCAGATAAATTGCTATGCTTTGTGCTGCTGTTATCACCATGGTCCAATCATTGAATACCCCCCCTCTTTGTGATACTGATTATTTTATATTACATTATCATGTGCAGATTTTTCTCCTTTATGAATTTTAATATTTTACATAACTTTGAACTGACAGAGGGCCAATTGTTAATGTAGACTCCATAGCGTTATCCCCTCTCTCTGCAGGGGATCTACCGAGGACAGGCGCATACATACACTCGTTCTCATCCTCACCCGAACTCACTGCAGATCTCTGTAGAGGCGGCTGCTACCTTGTAGTTTTCTATGCCTCTTTTACACTAGGCAACCAATAAGCTTGAGCATCAGAGGCATCCTCAGTAGTGTCCTTGGGGTCCATTTTTGTGCCTCCTTCAAGGCGCCTCGTTAGGAGATGCTTTCCTAAAACCCAGCAGTGATGGGTGAGCTGCTGCTGCTGCTCCACACAGCTATTCACGAAACTTCTGGAGCAAGGAATTTAGTGGGTCCCCAGCTCAATTCTATCTAACTATGAAATAAAGACAAATCATGAATAAATAAAGCTGTGCATTTATGATAATCTATACAATTAAAGATCGTATGTTAAGAGAATAATAGTCGTGGTGAGATATAAACATTTGATCATAAAATTATTAAATAGAGACAAAAAAGCTGTCGTTTTTTGGTGTTTCTTTGAAGAATTTGAGAGAGGAACTGCCACATCCAAATGGTATGCCATGGTAGCTGAAGCATTGGGAATACACAGTGTTAAGTTCTCTCGTTGCAATTGTATTGTATGAATAAAAGTCAGTCTGGATTCTCCGAGGTGAAATGGTAGATGCCATGTTTCGAAAATTTGAATTATCCCATCTGATATGATTTTATCACCAATTGCAGCTGCCAATGAATGCGGATAATTTTATTTGATTCCTAGAGTTTTTTTGTCTGGAGATCCTGGAGTCTGGGTGCCTTTGAGTTTCTTTGTTGTGCTATGTTTTAACCTGAATATGCTTCTTTCGGTTTCTTTGAGTTTCTCTGTTTTCATTAAACTAGTTAATTGATTATTTTCATTTTATGTAATCATCCCTCCTCCCTCCTTGCCTTTTTTCTTTCTAACTCACCTTGATCCTGGAATATTTCCATAAGGAGTGAAATGTAAACTATCACCTTGATCATGTTCCCTGAGAAGTAAACCCTTCTGTTCATGTTTATTTGGTAACTAAAGAGATCCCAATGATGCACGTCTACTGACTATTCTTGCAAAAAAATTGGCCACAGCAATAAGACAGCCCAAGGCATGCGTCAGAGTATAAAAAATTAAGCCTTGGAAAATGATTCGAGTACCCATTGACTCAAATCATGGGAAAAAAAATATTAATTTGATTTCATGATGAAAACCAGAGTTGTAGACGAAAAAAACAATCACGAGGGTCTTTCTTCCTGATCATAGAACAAGTAATATCATCATTTATTGTAGCAACCTCCCCCCACTTGTAATCTCAAGGAGGGGTGATGGCAGAAGAAATACAAGAGGATTCCAATATACAATCGAGGAAGGATGATGAATGAATGAATATGACAACCCCTTCTTCGTATTACAGTAATTTTCAGAGGCTAATGCTCAGTCTATGCCTTCATCTCAATCAGCCCTTCATGGTCATGCTCTGCTTCAAATCAGCTAGCTCTTTAGCTGAGAGGTCCACGCACTGGGCATAGCCCAGCATCTTAAGATCCTCCCATATCTCGTAACAGTCATCAATCTCGACCGTCTTCTCCATCTGAAAAGTCAACATGGCCACCTTGAGTTGAATTAGGCCAGAAAAATACCTTTTACTTGGAAGGAAGAATTGGAAATGGGGGCCGGGGGAGAGAGGCTACCTTCTGTATCTTCAATCGGGCCGCTTTTCTTTCCCTTTCCCTCTGTTTAAGCACTCTTTCAACAGCTTTGGCTTGGGCATTGATCCTCCTCCTCTCTTTTGGATCAAAGGACGAATGAGGTCGTTAATGTGGCGTAAATTCAAAGTAGAAAATTCCTTCATGCATTCACGTGATGGGCAAAGCGTTGACCCTTACCTTCCCCTTGCTTTCGTTTCAGATCCTTCAGTTCCCGCCGTAACTTCTTTGGGTCACCTCTCTCACACTGAGGAAGACAGAAGATAGAAGAGAGAAGAGGTGAGAGTCTCAGGATGACTGATCAGGGAAGCTGACCAAAAACGGTGAAAGTTCTGTAGCGAAACGTTACCTTGTGAAGAATCATCTTCTCTTGGGCTCGAAGGATGGTATCTGCAAATCGTCTCTTCAACAGGGCAGCGCGAAGTGCTCTATTGGGAGACAAAAGACTCTCGGATGATGGAGGAATTCGATCACAGGTCTTCAGGGGCCTGTGATTCTTCCCTGAGATTGTTCTGTGCGAAATACATGTCACTTGAGCAAGCTCCCCCTTCGATTGCCTCTTTAATGACAGCTCGACAACAGCACTCATGGACGCACAATCTGGTGCCATAGCTGGCGGATTTTATGAAAAAGTGACGAACTCTCAGAAGGGAAGAAGATTTTGATCGCAGCCGGAAGTAGGACGGTAAAACAAAGGAAAACGAATGCCTGAACAACTACCAGGGTGGCTGAGCGTTGGGAAGAAAGATGGGTACAGAAGGGATCCACATTACTGAAAGGAAAGAAGAGAAACAGAGCAACGAGAACGGCAGAAAGAACGTACCTGGTCGACCGACGAGAAGAGTGTCACCTCCGACCCAAGAACCCCTCCTCTCTCTGTCTCTCTCGTTCTCTCTTGCTCTCGCTCTCCCTCTATCTCTCTGTCACTCTCGTTCTGTCTCTCTCCCTCTCTCTCGCTCTCGCTCTCTGTCTGTCTCTTTCCAGGAGTGGAGAACAGTAGAAGGAAGCGGTCGGCCAGCATCAGAGTGACAACAACGGCCGAGCGCGTGTGGTGAGAGCGGGCGGGAAAGAGGCGGGAAGGGGTCATTTAATCTTTTAAAACGAGTACCCAACGAGCTCTCCGGTCGACACGTCACTAATGGCCGTTGAAGTGGCGGGAAGAAGGCGGACGGCTATTCTTCACTCTCACTCTCTCTCTCTCTCTCTTTCTTTCTCTCGCTCAAACCCGCCAAGTCTCCCTCATCTCCCTGATCGCCCACTACAGCGCTTTTGGTTCTGTCAACATGGCCCTCTCTCTCTCTCTCTCTCACACACACACACACACACTCTTAGCAGGAACTTCCGGAGTGAGTCAGAGAATGTTATCCCCCCCTCTTTGTGATACTGATTATTCTTGGGAATCAGCATTGACCTTACTTTGACAAATACTGAAAATACTCCCATGAAAGGAGCATTTTACAAGAAAATAGAAAATTTGGTTTGAAGGGGGGTTTACCCGCTCACCAACATTCTTTCCAAACCACATTGAGAAATGACAGTTGACTGACCCTTGTGCGAACTCCATGTAAGGGCAGTCATTAGGCTCCACATTGCTTGATTAGTGTGATCTTCTGATCTTCAACACTCAAGATTTTTAGTCTTCATACTGAGTATCCAAGAACAGAAGCCTCATTCAAAATGCTGAATGCTTGATTTATTTTAAAGTTTAATTTTGTCATGTCAATGATTAGTGGTGCACACGCAGTTTTATTTGGTTCATATGTTACTGTTATTTTATTGATAAAATTATTTTGAGAGATATTTGAAATTGGGTTGATTTTGATTTTAAATTGGTTTTGACTCATCTTGTCCTGTTAAGATTGAGGACAATTTGATCTCTCTCTCACACACACACACTCTTATTAGGAACTTCTGGAGTGAGTCAGAGAATGTTTTGCATGGTGTTTCCAAGGAGGCTCATCTCAGGATGGTGGGTCCCATATTTTTTTCTAACCTCCTAGTTCCTTTCAATATTTCCAGCATTTGGTCTTCATATTGATCAGCATTCTTCTGAATTTCCTGCATTTCACGTGCAGGCAGCCCGCCACAGTTGGGGTTCTCTCTCTCTCTCTCTCTCTCTCACTCACTCACTCTCTCTATCCACCTTTCTATCTCTCTATATCTCTCTCTCTCGCTCTTGCTCTTGCTCTCTCTATCCACTTATCTATCTCTCTATATCTCTCTCTCTCACTCTCACTCTCTCTATCCACCTATCTATCTCTCTATCTCTCTCTCTCTCTCTCTCTCTCTCTCTCTCTCTCTCTCTCTCTCTCTCTCTCTCTCTCTCTCTCTCTCTCTCTCTCTCTCTCTCTCTCTCTCTTTGTAGGGATCAAGGAAGTCTAGATGTGCAAGATGGTGAAGAAAACAAGAAGGCAATGGCTTAGGATTTTGCTGAAGCGCAAGGGTTTGGAGCTGATACCACCAAGGTGGAAAGGGGAGGGTCCCACCCCTCTCTTTGTCGACATCAGCTTTAAATTGTATTTACATTTAAAGTTAAAGTTAAATTTCAATTAGAAAATTTTCAACCCATATTGACTGTTATAATGTATATGTATTAAATATATCCCTTAAATTTCACTAGAGATTTTCTTCAATGATTATTTTTACTTAATGAAACTATCATATTAAATTATAAATATTAGTCTAATTAATTAAGATAAAACTTCTAAAACTGAAATTTAATTTTAATTTGAATAGGTTATTCGAGAACTTATTCCTTCTCTCTCATATAGACAGATTATCAGTACAGGTTTGAATCCTACTAGAGTCAAAATTCATATTTTTATTTGATTAAATCGTGACTTTCTTATAGATCACCAGTGAAGGATTAAGTCACCAGAATCGCTTGATCATCAACGAAAATCTTGTCAATGAGATTCACAGAATATTATTACAAAAATTACTAAACGATTCACAATAAAAGGATTACGAATTCATTGAGTAACTCATCTCTAATTGATCAACGAACAAATCATCTTAGGAAGATGATGATTTGCTGAAAGATGAGTCGCCACCTCCTTATTCAAACTCTTGTCAGTCGCCTACTTACATGAGAAAGAGTGATATAAGTACAAGAATACCTTTATAAAGTGGCATTGATAAGTCTTCATTATCATGAGTTAATAATTAGTAAATAATATAGTTTTAGCCTTAACTCATGATAAATAGACTTATATTTGTGTTAAAGCATGAAAAGTGGTTCTCAGTTGATTAACGTGAATTTTTGGGTAATTATGTGATTTTATACGATTTTTACAGTCTTAGTTTTGAGATAAATGAAGAACAAGAAATAAAAATAAAAATATTGCAAAATGGGGGGATCCGCCGGCCAGCCGGGCCCGCAAGCGGGTCGGAAGCGCAGTCGGGGAGTAGCCGCGAGCAGGGGCTCGAGCGGCTTGGTTAGATCGATAGGGGCACGTGTGCGCCACTCCCCTTCCACGTCACCGGTGTCAGCCGGCTGTGGGGCAAGGAGTGGTCGTACACGCGAGAGGATTTTGCCTAGAAAGCTAACTTTACTATATATTTGCCCAAATAATCCGCGCACAACCGATGTGGGACTAAACCCGCGTCACACCTTGTTCAGGGGCGGGCGACCGCCGCGGGTTCGAATCCTCCCAGAGTCAAAATTCATATATTTTTAACTGATTATCGCGACTTTCCTGCAGATCGCCGGTGAAGGATTAAGCAACCGGAATCGCTGGATCATCGGCGAAAATCTCGTCAACGCGATTCGCGGAGCATTGCTACTAAAATTTCTGAACGATTCGCGATAAAAGGATCGCAATCCATCGAGTAAATCATCTCCGATTGATCGACGAACAAGCCGTCGTCGGGAAGAGGACGATCCGCCGGGAGACCAGTCGCCACCTCCTGAGAGCGTACCAGATGCGATGAAGAGCCTCCTCTTGCTGCGCGGACCTGAGGATGAAGCTCCCTAACACGCGCCTCACCTCCATCCAGCCCCTCTCCGTCGGGTGACAGCCGCCGGAGAGCCGCAAAGTCGCCGTTTTTCCGCTCCGCCGGGTGACAGCCGCCGGAGACGATTCGACGACCCACTTCATTGGTCTCTAGACTTCGCGAGAAGATCTAGAGATTGCCCACGTCGTCTTTGTCCAAGGAGAGCCTTCGAGGCCGTGGACACTGCACGACGACCCTCCCGAACGCTCAGGATTCCGGTGCATCGCCGACGCGTCGCCGTCGCGACGCCGGAACTCTGTTTTCCTGCTTTATCTAGAGATTGCCCACGTCGTCTTTGTCCAAGGAGAGCCTTCGAGGCCGTGGACACTGCACGACGATCCTCCCGAACGCTCAGGATTCCGGTGCATCGCCGACGCATCGCCGTCGCGACGCCGGAACTCTGTTTTCCTGCTTTCAATTTAATTTACGCTTCATTTAGTGATACTTTGTTGATTTTAATTTACCAAACTATACTTCGTTCAATTACGATTCTTCCGGCTTTTACAGATCTTAATTTGATTAATTGAGTCGTCTGTAATCGCCTACGTAAGAATCGCCGGGCGGAACTCTGTTTCCGCCTGATTCGCGTTCGCCGGGCGCTGACGTCATCTTGACGTCCGCACCCTTATTTCCTTTTTTTTGTGAATTTTAAATATATTTCCTTTTTATTTCCTAGTATAAAATTCGTAAGAAAATCGTACTCATTGAGAAAAATTCTGAATAATTACCAGATATTATATTACATCCCTGTGATCGACCTGGAAAATTACCACTATTTTTGAGATTTTTATTGAATTATAATTGATATATTTATTTTGAAATACTTCTAAATATCCGAAAATTCGTATTTTCTAGTTTTATAAATTTTAAATTTGCGTGATTTAACATACAACGACTGAGTCACGTCAGGCATCATATGAGTATCTCCTTTTAATAAATATAGGATAGTTTAGAGGTATTAAAATTATTAAAACCATCAGAGAGGCTGTGAGTATTGTTTGTCCTACATCGATTATATGCTGAGTTTTGAGATAGATATATAGTAATACGAGATTTGATAATCAATGTATCCCTTTCTCACATGTCTACGACCACTCTTTGTCCCCTACTAGTTCATCCTTAGCCACTTGAGCCCTAGCTCATGGCTCTACTCTACTGTGTTTCCCCCTTTTTTCTATCTTTTTATTTTATTTTATTTTTCTTTATTTATCTCAAAAATAAGATTATAAAAATTATATAAATTCACATAATTAGCTAAAAATTCACATTAACCAATTAAAAATCACTTTTCATAATTTAACACAAATATAAGTCTATTTATCATGAGTTAAGGCTAAAATTATATTATTAATTAATTATTATTCATGATAATGAAGACTTATCAACCCCCTTCTTCAAACACACTTTTTCTTGAACTAATTGCAATAGATATAATTTCTATTAGTTTAATAGATTTTCCATAGGACTAAGAAAAAATATATAAATAGGAGATATATATGTTTCACTTACGTTCAGAAAAAAATATTTATTTAGTAAACTATTTAAGCACAAAGGTCAACTAAGTTGTATTTCTTTTATAATGGATGTGTTAAAGCTAGATTTATGTGTTTTAAGTAGTTTTATTATTTGATTTTATTTTGTTAACTTGCAGAGTAAATATAGGATATATTTTTAATTTTAAAAGTTTAAAGTTGAAATCTATAGCATCATTTTTTACTATTAAAGTCAAAAGAATAAAATATAAAAAAAATCTTCCACTTGGTAGCAAGCTGGCACTTGAAAGTTGATCCAAAGGGTGGATAGTAGTTGAGCGGGTAAACCCAAATTGGGGGAGCCACGAGCTAGGCTCAAGTGGCAAAGGCCTTGCTCTACGCACATGTGTGTCACTCTCCTTCCACATCCTAGTGGCCAACAAGTCGTGAGGCAAGGAACACTTGTACACTTGTGTGCATGAGGGAAAAACCAGCTTATTGCCTTCTCCCAAGATGGTCCTAGGCATTCTTTTATTTCGGGAGAAGGGATCTCTATTGAGAGAGAGAAGCTTTAGTTTATATTCGACACATGCATTCGATATATTTTTGATGTGGGACTAAATGTTTTTGTCTATTTCAGCACAGCCATCTAGAGTGCAGTGTGATTTAGTAATACATAGAGAGTCATGTCATCAGATTATCTTGTTCTTGTGACTAGTGAACTACCATGATATCAGATGTGGTGTGTGACTTTAAAGGATGATCCAACAGCTATGGAGGTGCCACAGTACCAAGAACTTAAGTTCTCGATCGGTAATGGTTCACGGTGAGTTGATCATGCACCACTTAGTGTGCCACGTACCAAGCTCATCTAATCTAGCAGCTCCCCAAGCATCACGATACTGAAAACTTAAGTCTTCACATGTAACACTATTAGGGATATAAAGACAATAATCAATTATTATCTGGTAAAATAGATATTATCAATTATCTTTAAAATCCCAATGGTAGTTGCGAATACGGCAATTCGTTCTTTCCTTCTTTTGCACAATTGATGTCTCTAGTGATCAACAAGCTTCTTCCTTCCTTCTCAGACTGCACTCAAGGCCTTTGATGAGTGGTCAGCTCTTCCTTTCTCCCCCCAAACGATGGTGATAGTGTGGTTGACTCCTCTTTCAGTGGATCTCTCCGACAAGCAGCGCAGCACTTCTAGACGATACTTCTATGACTTTTGACATGGTGTGGCACATTCGGACAGAACCAAGCCACCACACCGGTGCCTCTAGTTGCCCAAGAGGTAGACTAAACTTGGGCAACGATTTATTTCCTATTTTAAGCATTTACTTACATGCTTTGTTCATTTATTTAGATTTTATAGCAAGTTCTTTCCATTTCATGCACGTTTCAATTGAAATGAGTAGAACTAATTCAAAACTTGATGAATGATCTTCATTCTTCTTTTAAATCCTCTGAAACTTGTCTGAGATCAAGTTAAAATAGTTTTCAACTTATTTTCTATTGATTTTTGTAGTCAAATCTTGACATATTCATGTTCTCGGTGTTCTGCAAATAATGAGTATTTTTCTATTTTTGAATGTCAAATCACTGAGATTAAAGACTAATTAATGAGCATTCAACGATTAAAATAAGCTGGAGACATTCACGACTAATCTCATGTCATGTGTGTGAATCCTCAAGCACACCTTCATTTGAGAAGATGGCCTGACTGTATTTCTCTCTTTCTTCATTTTTGTCTTATTTCTCTCTCTCCCTCTCTCGTGAGACCTCTTGATAAGTCTTCATTATCATGAGTTAATAATTAGTAAAGAATATAGTTTTAGCCTTAAATCATGATAAATAGACTTATATTTGTGTTAAAGTGTGAAAAGTAATTTTCAGTTGATTAATGTGAATTTTTAGGTAATTATGTGATTTTATACGATGTTTACAATCTTACTTTTAAGATAAATAAAGAACAGGAAATAAAAATAAAAATATTACAAATTAAGGGGACCCATCGGCCAGTTGAGCCCGCAAGCAGGTCGGAAGCACAGTTGGGGAGTAGCCGCGAGTAAGGGCTCAAGTGGCCTAAATCGATGGGGGCATGTGTGCACCACTCCCCTTCCACGTCACCGGTGGCCAACCGACTGTGGGGCAAAGAGTGGTCATACACGTGCGAGAAAAGAACTTTACTTAGAAATCTAACATTATTATATATTCACCCGAAATATCATCGCACAACCGATGTGGGATTAAACCTGCATCAATCACCTTCCCTAGAAAGGGCGGGCAACCAACACGGGTTTGAATCCTCTTAGAGTCAAAAGTTATATATTTTTATTTGATTATCACGACTTTCCTACAGATCACCGGTGAAGGATTAAGCAACGAGAATCACTAGATCATCGGCGAAAATCTCGTCAATATAATTCGTAGAGCATTGCTACTAAAACTGTGGAACGATTTGTGATAAAAGGATCACAAATCCATTGAGTAAATCATCTTCGATTGATCGACGAACAAGCTGTCGTCGAGAAGAGGACAATCCGTCGGGAGACGAGTCGCCACCTCCTAAGAGCATACCAGATGCAATGAAGAGCCTCCTCTTGCTGCACGAACCTGAGGATGAAGCTCCCTAACATGCGCCCCATCTCCATTCAGCTCCTCTCTATCGGGTGACAGCTACCAGAGAGCCGTAAAGTCGCCGTATTTCTGCTCCGCCGGGTGACAGCCACTAGAGATGATTCGACAACCCATTTCATTAATCTCTAGACTTCGCAAAGAGATCTAGAGATTGCCCACGTTATCTTTGTCCAAGGAGAGCCTTCGAGGCTATAGACACTGCACGACGATCCTCCCAAACGCTCAAGATTTCAGTGCATCACCGACGCATCGCCGTCGCGATGCCAGAACTCTATTTTTTTGCTTTCAACTTACTTTACGCTTCATTTAGTGATACTTTGTGTGATTTTAATTTACCAAAATATACTTCATTTAATTACAATTCTTCTGACTTTTATAGATCTTAATTTGATTAATTAAATCATCTGTAATCATTTACGTAAGAATCGTAGGGCGGAACTCTGTTTCTGCCCGATTTGCATTCGTCAAGTGCTGACATCATCCTGATGTGCACACCCTTATTTCCTTTTTTTGTGAATTTTAAATATATTTCCTTGTCATTTCCTAGTATTAAATTCCTAGAAAATCATATTTATTGAGAAAAATTATGAATAATTACCAAATATTATATTACATCCCTATAATTGACCTGGAAAATTACTGCTATTTTTGAAAGTTTTATTGAATTATAATCAATATATTTTTCAGAAATACTTCTAAATATCCAAAGAATCATATTTTCTAGGTTTATAAATTTTAGATTTGCGTGATTTAATATACAACGACTGAGTCATGTCAAATTTGGTGTCGTTGTTGGGGATGTACTGCATAATATTTAGTATTTTTCTATTTTTCTCTTAGAGTACACAAAAAACTTTAACTCTTGTTTAATTTTGTTTTTGCTGATTTTTTTAGAAAAAGGAAATGAAAAGAAGCAAGGCAAGGACTGGAGCATCTTGAAGGAGGGTAATAATTACTAAACTTTTTTCTCAAATTATTGATTTTTATGCATGGTAGAAGATCTTTACATCTAAGGCTAGAAAATCCTTTCATTATTTCATTCAAAAATAAAAATCTAAAAGAAAAATTAATTTTGATGGATCCTAAAGGAAGTACAAGTCAAACTGAGAACAATCCTATGACCATGAAAAATCATTATATCCTTGATTTATTTCAAAGAGCATCTAATATTAGAATCCTATTAGCACCCATTGTTAAATTCGAAATAAATTCAATTTTTTTTCAAATGTTCCGTAATTTTCATGGATTACCTTTAGAGGAACCTCATTAGCGCTTAGAAAAATTTCATATGGTCTGTGATTTAGTTAATCTCTCTCAAGTTACACTGGAAATTATTAAGATGAAATTATTTCTTCATACACTTAGGGACAAAGCTAGTCATTGGCTATCCACATTAGATAGAGAAATAACTAACTAGAAAGATATAGAACAGGCCTTTCTTCAAAAATTTTATCCCCTAAGAAAAACTCAAAATATGAGAAAATATATATGAAATTTTTTTCAAAGACCAAGAAAAACTTTACATGAGACATGGGAAACATTCAATCTCTCTCTCTCCTTCTCTCATGAGACATGGGAAACATTCATTACTTAGAAAGTGTCCTCATCATGCTATACTTAAGTGGCAGCTCAATATAATTTTTTATGATGGATTATTAGAACAACATAGAAATATGGTTGATTCTATATGTAGAGGAACTTTTATAGAGAAAACTCTTGATGAGATTTATAGTCTTTATGAGAATTTAAGTGAAAATTCTAGAGATCAAGCCTCTTTTGAATTATATGACAAAGATAAGAAGAGAGGAATTTATAAATTGCATCATGATAATGAATCTAAATTAAGAAATGAGGTTAATCAGATTAATCAAAGATTAGAAAAACTTTATTTACTTATTGACAATATTAGAAAGCCTCTTAACCCTTAATTTAATTCAAATAGTATAGGTTCTATGTATGGTGAAAATAATTATTTTGAATTTCAATATTATCATAGACAAGAACAAGTGCAGGTACCTCACAATTTTAGTAAAAATAAAAAATATTTTTCTAATTCTTATAATCCTAATTAGGGGAATAATTTTTCGTAGAGAAACCCAAATAATATTCAAAATCCAGAAGTACTTAGATTCAATTCAAATTTTGAATTTCGTCCAAAATAGGAACACATATTTTAGAAAAATCAGCCCTCTCAAATCTAACCTGATGCTATGGAAATGATCTAGCAAAGGAGCCAAATGATGTAACAAACTATGAATCAAATGAGGCTGCACCAGAAACAAATTATAGAGGCTCTTGGGGATAAGAGAGAAGAGGGACAGCTACCTAGTCAACTCATAAAAAATTCAAGAAACTATCCAACAATAAGATTTCAGCAAGAAGAGTCTAGCTGAATAAATTTAAAAAAAAACCCACGAAATGAAAATGTTAGGACAATGAATATATTGAGTGAGAATATTTTACCTAATCTATATTTCTAATTATTAGAAGAAATTGATAATCCATTAGAAGTAAATGAAAATATTAAGGCCAAAAATGTAGTAGCAGAAAATTTGAATAAAATAATTTATTGCTCACAATTGATGAATGAATATAGTGAAGATGATGAGGAGAAAGAGCCCTTAGATGAAGAAACAACAGCTGATCATGGAAAAATCATCCAAATTTTAGTAGAAGAGAGTAAGGATAGAAATGAAGAAAAACATATTTCAGGTGAGGAAAAATCAGTTGATTTGGGAGATGTAGGAGACGAAACTAATAAATCTAATCATAATTTTGCAGCCATAGATGTTGATAGTGAGGATGATGATGTATATCATATACTGAAATTAAAAGATAGTTCTTGGGAAGATGAAGAATTTGATGAGTTAAAAAATGAAAAGCTAGAAAAAGAGTTGATTCAACTAATGGGGAGAAACAAAAATAATAGATATGAATATAGAGATAATTTTGGAGGAGAAAATTTAAATTTTATTGAATTCATTAGATTTGAGATTAAAGAAGACAATCCTTTCATCCTTCAAAACAACAGCCCATTAGAATTATTTCTAAGCTTGAAATATTTCACTCCTTGCAAATTGAACAAATATGTATGGAAGATAAAATGAAGTAAGGGAAGACTGCAGATAAAAGAACACATTAAGAAATGGGTGAGTGGAAGAATTATAGATATCAATTTAGATAAAAAATTCTACATTGAGTAAGAGCTAATTTGAAAATTATATGACCTGATCCCATTTTATGGTCTATTAATAGAAAGTATTTATTAATAAATGAAAGCCTTACAAAACAAGATAGAAATAAGGAAAGATTCTTTTCAAAATGGAAATATTATTTTTGGGAAAATTTTGTTAATTTCCATTTTTTTTTGGCTGAAAGTATGTTAAGGTATATATATGAAGTATATAAATTTATGCTAAATCTGAATAATAATATCATGAAACTTACCTTGGGATACAAATATATTTTGATGGCCATAGATCATCTTATATGATCTAAGAACTGTCCAACTAGAGACATTAAATGCAGCGCTGCATGGGAGTCAACCCATAGTTTTTATTTCATTCTGTTTGATTTTTTCTCTATTTTTCATAAAATTTTACAGTACTTGTTTATGTATTTGTTTTTTTTGAAAAAGTGTAGGAGTGTAAGATGAAGTAGAAAATTAAAAATGAGGTTGAGGTGATGTCTTTCTAAGCTTTACCATTTACGAAAATATTTTTAATGTTTAACTTTGCACATATGCATGCTTCAGTTGAAAATTATATTATCTGCATATTCTATTTCGATTTTTCTATGTCATTGAGAACAATGTCATTTTTAAGTTGGGGGGTGAAGTATTCATTATTAATTTATGTTGTAGGACGATTAAGAACATGTGTTTGGATTTTATTCAACTTAGAACAACAACTAAAAAAATAAAAATAAAATAAAATTCGAAAAAACTGCAACATCTATTTTCTGGTTTTCTATTAGGAACAACAAACTGTCAAAAACAATAGATAAAAAAACAGCCCAAAATTAATTCTAGAGATCCTTTTCTCACATTTCAATCCCCTAGACATATATTACTAAAATTCGAAATTACAGCTATAAAGAGGATAGTTTTGATTTATTTTTGACAAATTTATTGTGGTAAAAATAGAACTGAAAATAGAAAATAGAACTATTAGAACTATCTAATTTATAGATTTCTTACATCATATTGTATGTATGAAAAATTAAATCAATTAGATTGATTGATACCAAAAGATACTAGGAAGATTTTTATTGAGTCAAAAGAATGATCTAATAGCATGAAATATTGAAATACTCCTTGGATACATGATAGATAATATGGATTTAATTTTACAGATTTTCACTTCATGATCTTGATGGATAGTATTTACTTGATATGAAAATTTGATTGATCATTTGAGTTTAATGGAGATTTTTGCACCTTGATCTATAGGACTTGTGAGGAGAAATTACTTATTTCAAAAAAAAAAAAGAGAGAGTAATGTGAAAAATTTAGAAACAAAGAGTACACATAGAGAGTGTGAGACATCATTCTCATTGTCAAAAATCGTGTATAGAAAAACACTTGCTGCAAAATAAGTGGATAAAGTGAAAGCCTTGAAAATGAAGAGAACACATGGAGGGTGTGAGACATTATTCTTATTGTCAAAATTTGTCTACATGAAAAGCTACTTATCCACTATATATATATATATATATAAAAGAAGAAAGAAATATAGTGCAAACTTCAAAAATCAAGTCATAGAAAAAGGGAAATGTAGGATCAATATTATTCTTAGATGAGTATTGATAATTGGAACATCTTATAAATACATCTATGAGTGAAGAAGTGATAAAGATGTGAATAGAAAAAGTGAAGTCTAAATTGTTATTCCAAGGAGTGTTTAAACATTTAAGTGCTTGACATCATTCTTAAATACTTGATATAAGAATCTAAAGTGTCTAAAGGTGCATCATTTCTAATTGTATTTTTTTTTCTGTATTGAAATATGATTTTTGAGATTTGTAAAATTTTATTTTCGTAATTCTATTCCTAAGGGACTAGTAATGATTTAAGTTGGGGGGTGTGATAAGTTTTCATTATCATGAGTTAATAATTAATAAATAATATAGTTTTAGCCTTAACTCATGATAAATAGACTTATATTTGTGTTAAAGTGTGAAAAGTGATTTTCAGTTGATTAACATGAATTTTTAGGTAATTATGTGATTTTATATGATGTTTATAGTCTTACTTTTGAGATAAATGAAGAACAAGAAATACAAATAAAAATATTATAAAATGGGGGGACCCACCAGCCAGCTGGGCCCACAAGCGGGTCGGAAGTGCAGTCAGGGAGTAGCTGCGAGCAAAGGCTTGAGCGGCTTGAACTGATGGGGGCACGTGTGCAACACTCCCCTTCCACGTCACTAGTGGCCAGCCGGCTGCAGGGCAAGAAGTGGTCTTACACACGAGAGAAGAGACTTGCTTAGAAATGTAACATTAGTATATATTTGCCCGAAAAATCAGCGCACAACCAATGTGGGACTAAACCCACATCAGTCACCTTCCCCAAAAAGGGTGGGCAACTAGTGTAGGTTCGAATCTTCCTAGAGTCAAAAGTTATATATTTTTATCTAATTATCACGACTTTCCTATAGATCCCTAATGAAGGATTAAGCAACGAGAATCGCTAGATTATTGGCAAAAATCTCATCAATGCGATTCGCAGAGCATTACTACTAAAATTGTTGAACGATTTGTGATAAAAGGATCGCGAATCCATCGAGTAAATCATCTCCGATTGATCGACGAACAAGCCGTCGTCGAGAAGAGGATGATCTGTCAGGAGACGAGTTGCCACCTCTTGAGAGTGTACCAGATGCGATGAAGAGCCTCCTCTTGTTGTGCAGATTTAAGGATGAAGCTCCCTGACATGCGCCCCACCTCCATTCAGCTCCTCTTTGTCAGGTGACAGCCACTAGAGAGCCGTAAAGTTACCGTTTTTCTACTCCGCCGGGTGACAGCCACCAGAGATGATTCGACAACCCATTTCATTAATCTCTAGACTTCGCAAAAAGATCTAGAGATTGCCCACGTTGTCTTTGTCCAAGGAGAGCCTTCAAGGCCATGGACACTACACAACGATCCTCCTAAATGCTTAGGATTTCGATGCATCACCGACGCATAACTGTCGCGACAGCGGAACTCTATTTTTCTACTTTTAACTTACTTTATGCTTCATTTAGTGATACTTTGTATGATTTTAATTTACTAAAATATACTTTATTCAATTGCAATTCTTTTGGCTTTTACAAATCTTAATTTGATTAATTAAATCATTTCTAATCACCAAACGAAACTCTATTTCTGCTCGATTTGCGTTCGTCGAGTGCTGACATCATCTTGACATCTGCACCCTTATTTCCTTTTTTTGTGAATTTTAAATATATTTTCTTGTCATTTCTTAGTATAAAATTCATAGAAAATCATATTCATTGAGAAAAATTAGGAATAATTACCAAATATTATATTACATCTTGTGATTGACTTGGAAAATTACTACTATTTTTGGAAGTTTTATTGAATTATAATTGATATATTTGTTCAAAAATACTTCTAAATATCCAAAAAATTATATTTTCTAGTTTTATAAATTTTAGATTTGCGTGATTTAATATACAACGACTAAGTCACGTCACCTCTCTTCTCTCTCCACCTCTCGTGAGATCTCTTCCTTTTTCTCCATCTCTCTCAATCGATCTCCTTCTCTTTCTCTCTCTCGATCAATCTCTGACCTGACTTAATCGTTGTATTGTAAATCACACAAATTTAAAATTTATAAAACTAGAAAATATGAATTTTTAGATATTTAAAAGTATTTCTAAATAAATATATCAATTATAATTCAATAAAAATTTCAAAAATAGCGGTGATTTTCCAGGTCGTTCAAAGAGATGTAATATAATTTTTGGTAATTATTCAGAATTTTTTGTAAAAAATACTATTTTCTATGAATTTTATACTAGGAAATGAAAAAAATAAAATAAAATTAACAAAAAAAGGAAATAAGGGTGTGGATGTCATGATGATATCAGCACTTGGCAAATGTGAATTAGGTAGAAATAGAGTTTCACCTATTGATTCTTACGTAAGCAATTACAGATGATTTAATTGATTAAATTAAGATCTATAAAAGCCTGAAGAATCATAATAGAATGAAGTATATCTTGGTAAATTTAAATCACACAAATTATCATTAAATGAAGTAAAAATTAAGTTGAAAGTAGGAAAATAGAGTTTCAGCGTCGCGACGGCGATGCGTCGGCAATGCACCGAAATCTTGAGCATTTGAGAGGATCGTCGTGTAGTGTTCACAGCCTCGAAAGCTCTCCTTAGACAATGACGACGTGGGTAATTTCTAGATCTCCTTGCGAAGTCTAGAGATCAATGAAATGAGATTTTTGTAGCAATGCTTCGCAAATTGTGTTGATGAGATTTTTTGACGATGATCTAGTGACTCTTATTGCTTAATCCTTCACTGGTGATCTACAAGAAAGTTGTGATAATTAGATAAAAATATATGACATTTGACTCTAGGAGGATTCGAACCCACGCCAATTGCCCACCTTTTCTGGGAAAGGTGATGTAGGTTTAGTCCTACATCGGTTGTGCACCAATTTTTTGAGTGAATATATACTAATGTTTTATTTCTAAGTAAGTCTTTTCTCTTGCATGTATGACCACTCCTCACCTCACAACCGGTTGGCCACCAATGACATGGAAGGAGAGTAGCACACATGTGCCCCTATCTGTCCAAGCCGCTTGAGCCCCTACTCTTGGCTACTCCCTGATTGAGCTTTTGACCCGCTTGTAGGCCCAATTGGCCGGCGGGTCCCCCTCATTTTGTCTTATTTTTATTTTTTATTTTTTATTTCTTTTTCTTTATTTATCTCAAAAGTAAGATTGTAAAAATCATACAATTTTATATAAAATCACATAATTACCCAAAAATTCACATTAATGAACTGAAAACCACTTTTCACACTTTAACATAAATATAAGTCTATTTATCATGAGTTAATACTAAAACTATATTATTTACTAATTTATTAACTCACGATAATAAAGACTTATCACCCCACATAAACATGTGTCTTCTAATGCTCCTTACACCATGATTGGTTGGCCCCCAAGATAGGCAAGGGGAGCGACACATAAGTGTTGTACGTGAATCCCTTAGTCACTCAAGCCCTCTAACTCATGGCTCCCTGACTATGCTTCTAACCCATTTATGAGCTTGATTGGCCAATGGGTTCCCCCTCTATATATTTTTATATTTATTTTTATTTTATTTCAAAAACATCATTATAAGAATTATATAAATTCAGATAATCAGCCAAAAAGTCACATAAATCAATTAAAAACTACTTTACTTGATTTAACATAGATACAAGTCTATTTATCATAAGTTAAAGCTTCAAATATATTATTAATAAATTCTTGACTGATAATAATGAAACTTATTATCCATCATAATTATGACCTCATTTTAACACAAAATCAACATGTGTAATTAGCTAATGTCATGAAACAAATGACTTTTATTTCACAATTAATAATGTTCTTCATACTATCATTTACAATGTTTTCCATTATTTGAATTTCCCTTGTCTCTTTGTTGTGGTAGTCAAGGCACATAGCTTTTTCCTCACAATTATAGTTCTTTTTTTTGTAAGATTACACTTTCTATATTTAACAACCTGACTTTTGTAGCTCCATTTTGTCCCCTTTTTTCTCTTCTTGTTCTTCTTTTTTTTTTTTTCTTTGTTTGGACAAGGCTTTGACTTCTCCGTATAGTACTTTGACTATAGATTTTAGCATTCTAATCATATTAGATAGACATTTCGTATGGACTTGAGATGTGTCTTGACATGTTTCTATAGTTTCAACCTTTCTACTTAACCATAATTATTCTTGTATGCCTTGAATTAAGATGATTTTTGATTTTCTTTCCTAATTCAAACTTCACTAAATAGTCAAATAACATGAAAAATAAATGAATGTCTCTAGAAACTTGTGAAATTTTTAAGATGCATTTCCCTTGCACCTCACCCCCTCAACTAAGTGGCAAAGACCTCATTAGCATATGATAAAAAGAATATAAAAATTTGTTGTGAAGAGAGGATGGTGAGTATGGAAAACCTAGATAGATGGAGTAAGATGCTGCCACAATGGTTCTCTTGCTAAATGTGAAATTTTCACAAAGTTGTTTCTATGATCATATAAAACAGAACACAATGGATCAAAATGTTCAAAAAGCATTGGGTTCCCTCTCAACAAGCATTGGGCTTAATGTATTGAGGTAGACATTATGTTGATCAGTGGTCTTGTAATTGAATAGATTCTATGAAGTTTAATTATTCATTTTCCATATATGGTTTCAAGCACTCGCCATTCACTAAAAAGGTCAGACCATCCTATTGATCTAAAATCTTGGCTGCACTAATCTGATTAATATTTTAAACTATATATGGTCCATCCCATCTTGACCTTAATTAACTTAAAAACTATTGAAGCTTTGAATTAAATGTTGGAAAATAAGCTAATTTAGAATAATTTAATTTTATAGGGATTTTCCAAGTCGAACATAAGGAAGATAAAAAAATGAGTTAGTGATAATTATAATTTCTAATTGACAGATTAATTGTTTTGAATTTATAATTGCAAAAATTAAATACTTTTAAAATAAGAATTAGGTATTATGACATCAATAGATGTCAGCCAGCAAAGTTGAGGAAGATCCATATGAAATTATTTTACCACCCAAAATGCTCTATGTTCCAAGTCAACAAGTAGGTGACATAGTTTACCAAATACCACCCTATGAGGAGATATTTTGATTGGGGTTTTGTAAATATTTCTACAATAACCTTGATCAGTCTTTTCTATTTGGTTTTATACTTTTATATAGAGTATTTTGAATTTCTCTATTTGAAATCTCAACTTGGCCATGTTTTTGAAGGTGATAATGTAGTACTAGTTTATGGTTAACCCCATCTTTTCTAAGTAGAGATTTGAAATGATGGTTATTAAAATGTGAACCACTATCACTAATAATAGCTCTTGGACAGCCAAATCCTTAGAAAATATTTATGTGAATTTTTTTTAATAAAACTTTATGATCATTTTTTTTTGTATGGATTACTTCTATCCATTTTGACACGTAGTCAAGAACTACTAAAATAAATGCATATCCTATTGACGATGAAAATGGAACCCATAAAGGTCAATGCCTCATGCATCAAAACTCTCAACTATTAGGATGGGTTTAAGCAATAGTATATCTTTCTTAAAAATGTTTGTGATAGTTTTCATCTTCTTTCTAACGACAACTTATTCACTGATTAATCGAAGATACTTTATTCAATGAATTCATTATCTTTTTATCACAAATCGTTCAATATTTTAGTTACAAATCACGTCGATGAGATTTTCACTGATGATTGAGCAATTCTAGTGGCTTAATCCTTCACCGGCGATCTATAAGAGAGTTATAATTTATCAAATAAAAATATAAGTTTTTATCTTTAGTAAGGTTCAAACTTGTGTCAGTCACCCATCTGCATGAAAGAGATTGAAATAAATACTCTAATACCTTTATATAGTGACATCATCAGGGTATATCTCTTATAACTAAGAGGTATTTTAGATATTAAAATCTTCTAAATTATTTTGAGAGAAGGTGTGACATGGATTTAGTCCCACATCAATTGTATGTCAAAGTTTTAGACAAATATATAGTAATATCATATTTTAAAAGAATGAGTCCCTTTCTCTCATATGTACGACCACTCTTTGCCTCACAACTAGCTGGCCACTAGTGATGTGGAAGGGGAGTGGCATATGCATGTCCCTATTATTCCACAAGCATTTGAGCCCTTACTCATCACTCCTCCTTAACTACATTTTTGACCCACTTGCGAGCCTAGCTTGCAAGTGGGTCCCCCCTTTTTTTATTTTTTTATTTTATTTTCTTTTTTTATTTATCTCAAAAATAAGATTATAAAAATCATATAAATTCATATAAAATCACATAATTAGCCAAAAAATCACATTAATCAACTAAAAATTACTTTTCATAATTTAACGTAAATATAAGTCTATTTATCATGAGTTAAGGCTAAAACTATATGATTTATTAATTTTTAACTCATAATAATGAAGACTGATTACTAACTATTATGAAGAATAAGATGATCTACCTAGAGATGAGTCACTACCTCTTAGGAGCACACTGGATATAATAAAGAGCCTTTTGTTGTGTGAACTTGAGGATGGAGCCCTCTAAAATACACCTCACCTCTATCCAACATATCTTTACTAGATGATAGTTGCTAGAGATTCGAAAGTGAACATATTTTTACTCCACTGAGTGACAATCGTCATAGATGATTTATCAACTCATTTTATTGATTTTTAA